GGTATATGATATTTGTCTCCAAAGTATACTACATATAATGAATAAAATTAACAATACATTATTTTTATACACCGTCTCTGGTAACAGCTTCAAAATATTGGTCAATATAGTGCAATGCATATCAGAAGATATCGTTTGACATCAGACATAAATTTTGTGAAAGAGAAACCAATTTTAATTGATTTTGACTAATGTGGCCGCCGCAGTCAATTATTTTTAAACTGATTGGAATCGATTTAAATTCGCACAGAGTCAGCGAAGCATTTTCAAGTCGCCATGTCGCAATCTTTTTATTATGGTGATTAAAATAAATAAAATTAATTATTTAATGCCATTGTTTAATCAATCTCTTGTATTGCTGCTATGCGTCCGAAAATATCAGGTAGTTTGAATAAATGTTGAAATCCTTCAGCATTATGCATACGAAAGCTATTAGTCGAGTTGAACCACATTGGTTACAAGCACCGAGCAGAGCAATAGCTTAAAATTAACTCATATCTATTATAATATTTATAAGCATACACGTAGCCGGTAGAGGTGGGTTAACGGAGGCTTATATAGTAACTAGCCTCTGGCATAACTAGCTGAACTTACTATAGTCAAATTAACCGCAGGGTAAAAGTATACAGCGACAGCTCCTGGATTTTCTTTGAAGCCCCTAAGAAGAAAACCTGGCTACAAGTACTGTTTATAAGCCGCCTTCCTTGTTGTGAATCGGCAATAAGTTTTTCTTCATTTTGAACTAGATGTTTGTTCAAAATTTGCATGACAAGCTTTGTCAATTTCGGTTAAAATGAACCTTTGGATGATGTTTAATTAGTTTCTATGGTATTAAATGACAAGCACCGTGGACAACCTAATCAGTTGAAAGTTCCTCTTGACATTGCAACACAGAAGATATCTGAAACCAAACAATGTTGAAAATTGCGCTCTTCGGGGTATTCATGCAATTACTTGTTCTGCAAACTGGTATAACAGACGCAAACTTTTGTGATGATGTCAGAATTGGTATTGAAAATCGAACTCTTGCTTACAGTCTATTGTGTTCCAAATATGATCAACACCTCAGTAGTTGCTGTCATACAATAGACCAAGATCTCCACTGGCATAAAATTGCTTACCAAACAGTGTGCCAACACCACGGTAAAATTTAGAATTTGTTATCTCTCTTTATTATATTTTTATATGTCTATATGTAAAGTGTAATTGCATGAGAAGTTTCAGAGCTGCTGGCCACTTGATGGTGTAGCAAAACTTTTGACTCTTACAGGAACCAGAAAATTATAGAGTACTACCATCTCAATTTTGATACCATGCGTGGTTGCTGCGCGTGGTATAATGAAAAGAATGGCTATTTTTTTCTTTCCTAGTTGCGGCAAAGTTTTGCGCTTGTTCTCCTTTGTCATCTCATTTTTTTGGAAATTTACAGTTTTCTCAATATTTATATCAAGAAAATGCCATGTACAGAACACTGTAGTCTCAAATATAATGTTTTCCCCACAGAGTCGTTGTGCCGTGGCAAAAATCTCATTTTGTTGCTGGTTTATTACCCGTCAGTTGCTATGGCGATACTTCTTGCTATTTAGACTAGTTGCATAATTCGTTTAATTATTTTGCGTTTGCGTGGGGGAGAGCAACGAATAACTGTGTTCAAAGAACCGTATCAATTTGACGGGCAAATGCCCTTCAATTTTTTGAGGGCTGATTATACAGTATGACCCGAGAGGTTTCAACGCGCGCTGAGTTTCAAACCGGTTGACAGGATTGAAATTGTTTAGCGGTTTTACATGGGCAGTTTTAGTACTTCTAATGACTGATGGAAATTTCAGTTTATTTTGATATTATCCTCGTTTATATCTTATTTATATAGTCCTTAAAAGCTGTGCTCATCTCCATAAATATGGAGAAAGAAAAGATGGTGTTTACACTATTGATCCTGATGGCAAGGGACCGTTCCAAGTCCGATGTGATATGACGCGAGATGGAGGTGGGTGGACTGTCTTTGAGAGAAGACAGGACGGAAGTGAGGATTTTTATCGTGGATGGTCGGACTATAAAGCTGGCTTTGGTAACCCGGAGGACGAGTTCTGGTTAGGGTTAGATAAACTACATCGTTTGTCCAAATCTGGCCAAGATGTTTTGAGAGTTGATATGATGGACTTCAATGGCGCTCAACGTTACGCAAAATATGAAAAGTTTAGTGTGGCTGATGGATCTGATAAATATCGATTGAATATTGGAAGTTACTCAGGTAATCGTCAAGACGGACACATTTATTAATTAAAAATGTCTATAATTCAAGGGACTATCTCAGGGTTATTTTGGTGTAATTCAGATATTGACCAGTTAAGAGGTCAAAAATGATTCAGGACTTTACATGCAGGCGTGTAAATCATGGGGTGAGGTGGGGGTGTGACATCTCCTAATGTTTGAGAAAATCAAAACATTTAAATCATGTTAAGTAAGAACAAAAACCTATCCATACCCCATACCCAAAAATCTATATATACCCCCTAGCGATCTCGCGCCTTTCGCGCTGGATACTTGTGCCTTCACATGACGAGGATGGTCTCTTCGAGACTACAAATGCGGACCCTCATAAACTTGTTTTAGCTTTCCCAGCATCTTTACGTTCACTTATAATATGTCTATAATTCAAGAGTAGATGCTGATTTTCTAGTTTAGTTTTTCCAGCATCTTTACGTTCATTTCTGACCACACCCTTTTTGTTGGGCAAAGCGACACTCCACACCTTTGGCAACGTCAATAAAGACGTGCTCATCAACAGTAGCATTTTTACTCTAAGACAAAAGTGACCAACAAATTATATTTCCTTGAGCATTCTAGTACGCCGTAGTTGTTCGTATTGCTACGTTATTGACATCATGTGCACGGCTTTATAACCGGCGTCAACAGTTCAAACGTTCGAAGTCGTTCGGACCGCTCTATATGATCTCACCGAATTTTGTTCAAAATAGAGAGAAGTTCTTTCAAGAGGCAAATAAAGTTTAATAATGTATGCTATGGCTCGAATACAAAAATGGAAGTAACTTTGTTTTCTGCCGTTGCAAGTTCCCAAACTCACTTATATGTTTAGTTATGCAACAGTTTTTTTTTCACTTCTTAAAAGGCAATGCGGGTGATTCTCTTTCTTGGCACAACAATGCGAAGTTCTCTACGAAGGACAATGATCACGACACGAGTTCTGGTAACTGCGCTCTCAACTGGAAAGGTGGCTGGTGGTACAAGAGCTGTGCTCGTGTCAATCTTAATGGTCTATACCTGGGGAAAGGGAAAACACACTACAGTGGAAACCACTGGCGCGATTGGAAAATGGATTCTCTTAAGAAGGTTGAGATGAAAATACGTCCGAATCAGTTTTAAAGAAATCATGAGAAACCTTCACATATTGATGATTTTTCTATTGATCTAATTTAACCTCGTGATTAATCAATGATTGAGTGATCTAATTAATCTCTAATTGCTCTCTAATTCAACTTAATTAATCTCTATTGATCTTTATTTAATCTATTACCATTTTTGTAGTTTCATGAACCATTAAAATGTTATACATTTATGCACCTTCCTAGTCAGTCTTAAAGGAATCATGAACAAAATTTATATTGATTATTTAATGATCTAATTAATCTAGCGCATAAGGTTGTTGTAAACTTTTGAAAATCAAACGAATTAAACGGTATAAACTATTTGACTTCAGTTGGTTATCGGCACTTTCTCAAACGTATATGAACATCGAGACATCCTTACACTAAGAAATGAAGAAACAAAATATACTTGATATGTCGTCAAAAAATATTTGGTATGTAAGTGTTGTGGTAAAGTAACTAGTGCATGATGCGCCTTGTGGGTTTGTTTACTATATTATATGTTTGTTTACTATTTCGCTTCTATCGCAATATGCGAGAAAAGTGATCTTTTGTTTGACTCAGTCAAGTTTGATTCCTGTTTCGATTTCGCAAGGTTCGATTCCTGCCAGAGGGCTTGTGGTTGGATTTTTCGCAACTGCACCAGTGCTCCTAGTTAATTCTAAATGTCTATATATTGCCATTCGAAAGTTCCATCTAAAAAAACCCATCTACTATATTGGCCCTCTCGAACGAAATGTCCCAAAATCTCGATATTTCCCATATACCTTCTGCTGGTATCACCGATTACATTTACATGAACTTGTTGTTAGTTAATGTTTATAGCAACTGGACTCTGCAGTTCAGAAATTTCAGTTGGTTAGAGCGCTACACTGGAATCACAGGGTTCGACTGCTGTCATCTTGCCTACAGTTGTATTTTTCGTAACTGCGCCTGCATGGTTAGGTCTAAATGTATGTAAATTTACGATCGAAAATTTCGTCTATACAAAAACTCCACCTTCGAATTCCTTCAGGTACTCCCGTTTCCTGGAATATAAGACAGGTCCTTACGGAACTTCTAGGAAAACGGTTTAGAACTGACAAAGCAACCCAATATAAAAAATGTCAGTTAAATCCCTTGTCATTATAATCAATAACACATATCCGAGCGATACGGTTAAGTAACTGTGCGATCTATATATGATACAACCCATTACATTCCCCATTGAATGCGGCCTTAAAAATTAGCAAATGTAGAAATGTTATAATCAAGTGAAGTCAAATGAAAGAAGAAACAATATTTCTAAGCCAAATATATAATTATTGTCATACAATCAGCCTCGTACCCAGGCGCTTAAGAGAATATCACGCAAGTGGAAATCGCTGCCCCCTCCCCAAGCACCCTTGCGCGCTCGCTCATGCCACTGACTCCAAATAACAGCTCAGCGCGTATTCCTCTTGTGTGATATCCTCTGTGCCTGGACACGAGACTGCCATAAACTTAGCCTGTAACTGTTACAACTATGTATTACTATATGCAGGAACTATGAGTAAATCATTTATTAATATTACTAACTAGTAAACTCTAGTACTTACAACTTGTGCGTTTAATTGTATCTAACTTTGAAAATTATCAGTGAAAGTTCATTGCAAGAAGAGCAATGCCAATGGTGAACAAAAGAAGCTCTGAAGCATGACTCATAATATATGCATCACTCGTTGCAGCCTTAATAGCTTCAACAACCTTGTCACATCCTCCTTTTAAGCTGTCCTTGATCGGCTTCAAAATCGATGACAATTTGTCGTATTTGTCTGAGGCTTTGTTGATGCTGAAAAACAAGGAAAATGTCACAACCCAATTTAAGGTTTACAGGTTTTAGTATCATGCATTGACAGAATAAAATCGCCAAAAATACTTATACTGCAGCCAGTTGTACAAAAGACGATTGATATAAAGCGCAACTATAAAGTTCAACATTTTTTAAAGTTCAACATTTATAAAAATGAAACTGTGTGTATAGACTATATAGTAGAATAGAATAGAATAGAAACTTTATTTCACGAGGGAAAACGTATTAACCGTAAAAGTTATCAAACATACGGCCCTCGCACTATTTTGATATTTACAGGCATAAAAAGTATTAAGGATTACGACTATTTACATTTGAGAAAAAAATAATTAGTAATGAATACAATTACAATTTAGTAAATATTTACAATTTATACAAAATAGATCTTCGATATGGTTAGTAAGGGTAAGCTTGTTAAGAAAGATTTTACGAATTTTTTGTTTGGCGTTAGTATATGAAGAGCAAGATGGCGAAGCAGCAAGTTGCTTACAATCGCTATCTAAGCAATTAAAAAGAATGGAAGCACTGTACAGAAATGTTCGTTTACCAGAGTCAGTACGCGGGAAGGGGGGGTTGAAGGTCATATGCGCAAGCTCTAGTCAGAGCCCGTTGTCGAATACAATAGTATATGGAGACCAAACATAAAAAATCCCTTAATTTATCAATACTTATAAACTTTAATCCAGTTATACCGATCACCCCCCGAAATTTAGAAAGCTTTGACTGAACTGAAAAAACCATCCAGTGGATGCCGCTGTTCGACCTTTCCACTTCAATAGATCTGTCCGGTAATTACGTCACGACTAACACTGTTTTCAACTTAAGACCACTTTAAATGGATTGGTTTTTAGTTTCAGAGGGGCAGGACATCCTTCTTTCTTCATTCATAAAAAGGAATTTGGATTTATTTTTTGGACCAATAATTATGGAAATAAGCTTTAACATGAAAACGAAGCTGAGGGGCCAAGAAGGGCCGTGGCTCCTCAGCCTCGTTTTCGTGTTTAAGCTTATATCCACATTTAATAGTCAAAATCCAATATTCTTTTTATTTTTTTATGCATGTATTGACGAAGGATGTTCTACTTCTCTGACCATAGCCCGTGAGAAACAAACTTGAAATCTATCTTAAGGTGGTTCGAGTTGGAAACAGTGTAGTTGTGACGTAATTACATACCGGAAAAGTCTATTGTATTGTAGCGAACGAAGCCTGAGAGTGGAATTAACGAACGCTTACGTTGTCGTGAGTTGTGTTCTTGTTTTAGTATTTTACACAGTAAGTTGCATGCGACAGATTTACGCAAAAGTTGCATGTGTAGTGTGAATTGGCATTTAGAGCGAAAATGGTTATAACATGATCATACGATCAAGCAACTGTAACATACGGTTAAGCTATAACATAACTATGTTACAAACGGTCAAGCCAAGCCAAGGAACACCTTGGAACGAATGCAGCTAGAACCAAATGAAATCTAGTATAGGTTGCATCCTCAAATATTCATGCACGAATATATATTTCTTTTCAAGGCTGTCGGAAGTAAATCAATATTGGAAGGGCTCAAGAATAAATCTGAATTGCTTTCGCACTTTTCCAGTCCTTTTGTGTGTTTTGCTCACACAAATGGAAATTATTGGGGAGGGGGGAGGGGGGCTTGAGCTTGCTTTTTAGTCCTGACCCGAATCACAAACAGCCTACGCATGCGCAAAACATAATGATATAACAAAACCTTACCATTCCAATACACCATTACACTTGTCTTGCAAATTAGGAACAATGATGCTTTTCTCATCCTCACTGCAATACAGCGGCACACATACGGTATTTTTTATCTTTTCCATACAATCAGCTGAGAGCAGTTCTTTTCCAGTAAACGTGTTCGCTGTTTCTAAATATTTCATCGGGTCTTTAAGTTTGTCTGATTTTTCAACGTAAGCCTGCCAGTATGCAGCTGGCATCTAGAACAATATTGTAACGTTAATCGTATTACGATCCATAGTTTGTTTGTTTTCGATATCAGATCAAGCCTGGCCGATTTCAGGTATATTGTATTATTGGTATTTAGACCATTTCACGTTTTGTATGCTGTGTTTTATTGTCAAACTAAGTCGAAATACGAGATAAAGCGTCCTGCATTTCCTATTGAGCAAGTAATATCGAGTGTCTGCCTTAATTGGTATTCTGCATGGTATAAGCCCCCTAAAGCCTAAACCTGGTTAGGGCATGATACAGATTGTTCTTTGTCCTTTCAAAGTCAAAAGTCAAACCTCATTTGAAAAAATAATGATGTATTAACAATGGTGATCTAGACAAAAACTTCTTATATTACTGAATACGAATCACCGTGAACTCATCTATAAATAACATATCCCTGCTAATACATCAACAACGAAGATCTACACAGAAAATTCCGATGTCAATTGCTGAACAGGGCAACTTTCAACTATACACGCTCTTGGAGGCACAAAAGAAACAATTAAAGACAGGGCTTCAAAAAAAATTCCAGGCCCACATCTAAACTTGAGAGGCTGTCAACGGGCACAGATAATAATACAAATGTTAAGCGATAAAAGTCCTGGGCTTGCATGTTTGGTGTGGCACAAAGGAAGAAAAGTGGGGAGCGCAAAATATACAGGAATGCAAGGATATATACGAATGGGAGAAAAAAATACAATACACCCTGTGAATGCATATACTACTATTAGTGTTTCAGATTTTTACACAGCTCATTGTTAGTCGCCATCAAAAATGCGATCTACAGGGTGTATAAAAAAAAACGCAACCTCGGAATTTCCTAAGAAATCACTTTACAATTCTTAAGCATAAAAGATTTTAGGCCCCTGGGAATTGAAATCGAATTGCTAATAGATCATATTACTGTTGTTGTGCATTAAATAAATGCATAAAGTTTGCTTTATGCACTCGCGTGTGCAGTAATTTTGACAGTTGTGTTATTTTAAATTCCCTAGGCGCCTAAAATCTTTTGTCTTCAAAACAATGTCGATTTCTTGGGAAATTCCGAGGTTGCGTTTTTTTTTATACACCCTGTATAAAAAAAGGAGACCTTTAGAAATCAACCATATTGTTAAAATTTGAATGCCTTTTCAATTGCATATATGCTGAACCGTAGTACGTGAAATATTGATGGGGTGCATATATTAGAAAAAGGAGACCTTTAGAAATTGAAATAACGTTTGAACAAAAGATTGTCTGCTCCTGGGAACAATCAGCCATGGATACTGTACGTAGATCGCATGTTACGCACTCGTGGGCTTAGCAAAGTGCTCCAGGATTCAAATTATAATTTCTTTTTCTAATATATGCACTCCATCAATATTTCACGCACCACGTTTTAGCATATGTACAATTGAAAAGGCATTCAAATTTTAACAATATGCTTGATTTCTAAAGGTATCCTTTTTTTATACACCCTGTATACTGAACCCACATGTGCATCAAAGCGTGACATAAGTAAATTTTATGCATAAAGAAACTGTTTAAGAAGCTGTTTTAAATTCCCAAGAGCAGAAAATCGTGCGCTTTACAAAGATATTATAATTTCTTAATAAGTCTGTATATAATATAGACTCCTTTGTCAATATTTTACGCATCTTTGCGTTCAGCTTAGTGCTAGGGCATTCAAATTTTAACAATACGTTATTTCAATGGTTTTGTGGGGGTTTTTGGGACACACTGTAGAACAGTTATTAGTCACTCGTGTAGATCATTCTGAAGCTTAGTTATACCTTTGTTCCATCCTATGCTTCTCTAAACTAGAACAATAGTAACTAGGCACGTCTGAGTTATCTAAAGTTGTGAATTGGTTATAAACAAACGTTACTCGTTAGCCAAATAAATGTGTCTATTAATTCACTGACTATTGCTACTTAACGGCTGTTTGTAAAGAAAGAGCTGGGGCTGGTTGTTCAGAGCCCAATTAGCGCTAACCTTGGGTTAAATTTTAACCTGCTGTTTTTGTTTCTGTATTTCTGTATATCATTCGGTTCAAAACTTTAGAAAATAAAATCTCTATTGAACCAGAAAAGATTTCTGGAAAAACATATTCAACTTGATTGGTCAGCAGTTGGAAAATTTAATTTGTAGATTTGTGTTAACCCGGGGTTAGGCTAACCGGCTTTTGAACAACTGGCACCAGTACTTTTAGGAGGCAAATACAGTTTAAATTAGTATAACGTATGCAAAATGTAAGTAATATATTTTCCTGCCGTTTTCTCGTTTACCTCATGGAAAACGGGCTCAAAGTTTACTTGAACCCCCGAAGTGCACTGCAGTGTACTTACTGGTTTGCAATTAATCGTCCTTTTTCTGCCATACCCAGCCGTTTTACCATGCCCAGAACCATATAAAGGGCGATGAAATCTCATTGCAAAGACTCCATTCGCCAAACGTGGATCTTTACTGGTCAATACCACACCACCAACCAACTTTGAAGGTTGATAATACCTATTAACGTTCAGCATCTTCAATTCATGCAAACTTAACCTTATTGTTGTTGTTCCTGGTACTCGTGTCCAGTCCCAACCGTGTTGAACGTCGTACGCATTCAAGCTTTCTTCGCTGTTCGATATCTGCAATGCACCATGGGATTGATATATACCATATATGTTCTGATTGCTCGAACCCTCAAAATCCCAGATGTATCGACTGAACCCTTTTACGGTCACTACCCAATGTTTACGCCGATGTATTGATAAAGCAGCAAAGTTGTGTACCCAATGACCAGTTTGAGGCTCGGCTGGCTGTATTTCCGCCTTCTTCGCTTTCCTATAGAGTGCCAGAAGTATTTGCAACGAGCCTATAAATAGATAGGTAAATAAATGGGCGAATACAGAAAGACAGATATAGTTTATCTTCAACAATAATGGTGATGATCTCGATCGATGATGATTATGGCAATGATGATTGTGATGTTGATGATAATAGTAATATAAATATAATGACAATGGTGACGATGGAATGTATGGTATGGTATGGAAATTATATAATACACACTCCAGAACATTTTCATCTTAATATATATATATATATATATATATATATATATATATATATATATATATATATATATATATATATATATATATACTGTATCGA